CACACTGTCTTCCTCTGCTGTTGCTCTGGTTTAGGACTTGCTCTCTTCCTGTCCTTTTCTAGTCAACTCTGCAGCATTCCAGTCAGTACTTGGAGGACCAGAGTGCCCAGAAGGCAGCAGATAGGAAAGTCAATGAGACTGAAGAAATGACTGTCTGTTTCTTTTTCGTCTTATTTATTTATTTATCTGGGGGCACAGGGTTTTTTGTTTTTGTTTTTGTTTTTTTTTTATGTAGCCCTGATTGTCCTAGAACTTATTAAGTAGACCACCCTGACCTCAAACTCACAGAGATCTACCTACTGCTACCTCTGCCTCCTGAGGTGCTAGGATTAAAGACATGAACCCCTGATTTCAATTATTTCAAATTCCCTATTATAGGAAAATGTTGTAATATCTTTTTTGGACATAATTCCTCCCTCTTTTTTTTTGCCCTAGAGCTAGAATTGAACTCAAGGCCTTGTTCCCTATTGATGAGCTACTACACCCCCCTCCTTTTAATTTCTATTTTAAAATAGGGGCTTTCAGCCGGGTAGTGGGGGTGCACACCTTTAATCCCTCGGGAGGTAGAGGCAGGCGGATCTCTGTGAGTTTAAGGTCAGTCATCTGCTAAGTGAGTTCTAGTACAGCCAGGGCTACAAAGAAAACCTGTCTGGGAAAGAGAGAGAGAGAGAGAGAGAGAGAGAGAGAGAGAGAGAGAGAGAGAGGGGAATCTTGCCTCAGTTCCCAAAGTAGCTGGAATTAAAGGCTCGTCCCACAACACTGGCTCTTTTTCCTTTCAAAGAATTTTTTTTTTTCAAACAAATAGCTAAAAATAGAGTTGTTTGGGGAAAGATACCACTGTTATCTCCCTGCAGTTTTCTAGGCAGGAAACCCTGAGACGGAGACCTGAGTTGAGCCCAGTGATGTGATGTGGAGGTGATTCCAGGAAACACTAGAGCGTGGGGAAGGGAGAGAAGGAAAGGAGGAAACCAACAGAGGGTTTGACAGCAACCACTTACCACGTGGGCAATTAAACCTTCCTCACACTGAGGAGCTTGGGGAGGCAGTCAGTACAGTGCATTCTGTCAAATTTTCCAAAGCATAAGTCAAAGAACTTGGGGTTTTATCTGTCAGCTGCCCGGTTGTCAGAGTCTGAAAGAGGCTTCCTGGCACCCCGAGCATGCCCAGTATGTTATCTGAGCTTGTTCTACGGAACAAAAATGTTCAAAAGAAAAATAACCTTTGAATTTAGAAATGAAAGCAGAGGGTAAATGGGAAAGGCACTTAGAGCGTCTGCTACAGATATTTTTATAGCTTTTATATTCTCCATTAAATTGCTCTATGAAAGAACAGGTCTGATGTATACTATACTTAGCAATTTGAAACTGTGACCTTTCTCACATCCCATGACCTTGATAGTTGGTGCTTGCTATATTTCTTCCCATGACTCACATAGCCCAGGTTGTCCTGGAGCTCGCTAAGGATAACTTTCAACGTGGGAGCCTCCAGCCTCCCTGCTGGATTCTGGCTTGTGCTGGTTATGTTCTGTCTTTCTTAATGCTAGAGATGGCAGCTGTACCCATTCTTGACAAGGAGAATGTCCTGGCACACGTCACTACTTTGCTTTGTTTTCAATTCTTTTACTATTCCTTACTTAATTTTTTCCCTGTTTATGATTTATGTGAAATCCTGTATTTGGTACTTGCTGCCATTACTGTCCCCCCCCCCCCCATCTTCAACGTTCTATTTAAGATTTGTTTCTTTCTCTATGTATGAGTGTTTTCATGTACGTGCACCACATGCATATACTTTGTTCCTTCAGGGGTCAGAAGAGGGCATCTGATTCTCTGGAACTGAAGTTAAGATGGTTGTGAGCTACTGTGTAAGTGCTGGGAACCAAACCCAGGTCCTCTGCAAGAGAAACAAGTGTTCTTAATCATTGACCCATCTCTCATCTCTCCAGCCCCTTTCCTCCTCCTCCTCCTCCTCCTCCTCCTCCTCCTCCTCCTCCTCCTTCTCCTCCTCCTCCTCTTCTTCTTTCTTTTTCGAGACATGGTTTTCCTGTAGCTTTGGAGCCTGCCCTGGAACTTGTTCTGTAGACCAGGCTGGCCTCAAACTCAAAGGCATGTGCCACTACCACCCGGCTGCCAGTCCCTTTCTTACAATTTTTGAAGACAGCTTTATATTGTAAATTCGAGGGTCACAGTGTCATAGAGGATGACCTTGAACTCCTCATACGGCCCCACCCAGTTTCCCTGTTCGGGATTACAGGTGTAAGCCATTACCCAATTGCTTCTCATTCTTAAAATTTTTATTTATTAACTGGGTACGGCGGTGTACACCTTTAATCCCAGCACTCAGGAGGCAGAGACAGGCAGATGTCTGTGTTTGAGGCCAGCCTGGTCTACAGAGTGAGTTCCAGAACAGTCAGGGCAGTTAAGCAGAGAAATTTTGTCTTAAAAAACTCAAAATAAAGCCGGGCGGTGGTGGCGCATGCCTTTAATCCCAGCACTCGGGAGGCAGAGGCAGGCGGATCTCTGGGAGTTCGAGACCAGCCTGGTCTACAGAGCTAGTTCCAGGACAGGCTCCAAAGCCACAGAGAAACCCTGTCTCAAAAAATAAAAAACAACAACAAAAAAACCCAAAATAATAATAACAATAATTTAACTTATTGTCACACGTGGTAGAAAGTGATAGAACAAGACACCTGACACCCTCCTTTGGCTTCCCTATGAATATCTATAAGCCTGGGTACCACAAAACACAGGTGTGTATATAACACACACACACACACACACAAACTAAACAAATGTAAAAAAATATTAAAGAAAGTAAGGAGAATGTATACCCAAGATTGGGATTGGGAGTTGGCTGCTGTGATGAGGATAAAGCCCACAGAACACCGACCATGAAGCCCCAGATTTCATAGGCATTTGCATGGCATCCACCTATCCTGTGTTTACATATCACGGGCTTTCTTAGGCAAGCTCTGTTCTTCGTATGAATTCCTAGGAACACAGGCTTCCAGGCTTTGCCAACTGCCTCAATCATGCTCCATTTGCAGTCTGAAAGGAAGGGCTTCCAGGCTTCCTCTGCCAACTGGCTTCCTTTATACATTAATTCTGATCTTGCTATTTTTCAGAAATTTGACGGTTGCTCCTGTCACAACTTTCCACCCAGAGCTGTGGTCTCAGAAATTGTTCTTTTTGGGGTTAGAGCAGAAGTATAATAATCAATATTCTATAATTACTTTCATGCTGATGAAAGTCACAGTTCCTGCCTGAGAGGAATCACAAGGCTCTCTCCCTGGTTTATTTATTGGTTAGAAAAGACACTTTGGGTTTCCTGTAGTGGGAGTTTAGTTTGAAAATGTTAAAATGTCCTAGAATCCACAAATTTTAACAAGACTAAAAATACAAGTTTTAGATTAAGACTGAGCTGGAGAAGGAGACCCGTATGCTTGCCCGGAGTGACAAGGAGAAGCATAAGGTGCCAGGCAGTGGGGCACTCTCATGGTGAGCAAATATATAGGTGGGTATGAGAGAGAGAGACAGAATGGTTGCTGTCATGTAGTAGAGGCAGATCTGAAGAGGTGAAGGCTATGAGGAGTCTGTTGAGGAGGGTGGCCTGCTTGCTATCTGGGGCCATGGTGATGTCTGGACCTGGGCTCCTGCCAAGGCCCATGTCTGGGTCCATGGCTCTGCTGCAGCCTCTGTCTGTGTTGATGTCTGTGGTTTCTGTTACCACTGAAAGCCAAGAGGAGAGGGCTGCAGAGAGTTGGCCCTGCCCTCACAGGCTGCAACACTAGGGAGAACTGGTCTTGCCACTCACTAAGTGCAGCGCTTGGGAAAGCAGACTCTGCACTCTGCACCTCACCTAGGCAATACAAAAGCACTGACACTGTTGGCAGGGGCATGGGTGAGCTGCCTCAGGGTGCAAGAATGGGAGAGCTGGCTCCACTTCCCCTCATCTGCCATGTGGTGGCAAAGGCAAAGGAAAGATGCCCTCCGCTCTCCTCCTCTTGCCATCCTTGGCAGATGGGAGAGCTAATCCCCCATCCGTACACACACCAGCTACAGCACTCAGGAGAACAGGCCCTGCACCTTGCCTGGGCAGCACAGTAGAGCTGACTCTGTTGATGAAGCAGTGAACTTGCCCGGGAACATGAATGTGGGAGATCTGGCCCCACCCCTTATTTACCATATGATGGCATGGACAAGAGAGAGACCCCCCCCCCCATTACTGCCTGTGGCAGGTGGAAGAGCTGGCACTGAGGTCATGAGAGTGGGGGTGCCATCCTTGTCCCTCACCAGGCACAGCACTCGGGAAAGTATCCCCTTCACCTTTCCTGGGCAACACAGTAGAGCTGGCCCTGGTGGTGGATGTGTGGGTGAGCAGGACCTGACAGCGGAAGCTGGAGAACCAGCCCTGCCCCTTGCTGCTTGCTGCATAAGGTGAGCTAGCCTGGGTGGTGCTGGAGAGCTCACCCTGGTATTGAGAATGAGGGCAAGCTGGTGGATTGGCAACCCAGCAATCACCCAGGCCCAGAACCAGCGTTATGAGTTGGCCCACCCCAATATCCACCCCATCTGTGATCTGCTGGAGCATGTGAAGGGGACAGACCTGCAGATCTAAAGCTACAGGTTCTCCACAACACACCTGTGTGTAATAACAGGGTAATAACAGGATAACCAAGAGGTGTCCCACTGAGGACCCAGCATCAACAGTATAGCAGAAACCAGAGGTCTTGAACCCAATCAATGACTCCTTGCAATGAACACTTACAAGTATACAGGGACTAAAGGTACACTGTGTGACTCACGGTGTCATGCTACAGCTTCTATGATGAAATTTTTCTTTTTCTTTTCTGTTAAATTTTATTTATTTTTGGGGGCGGGGGAGGGTTCCAAGGGCAGAGGGCAGATATGAAGGGATGGGGAGATGAATGAGACTGAGATCCACGGTGTGAAAGCCACAAAAAAATATTTTAGCCACGATTTACTTAAGAGGATTGGATTCTTTTCTTTTTTCTTAGCCACGCTCTGGGACTGACTTCTGTTAACATGTAACAAAGAGGGTCCATGTCGTCATACAGCTTGCCAGAATATAGGATGAGCTCTTTTTCTACAACAGGTCTAAGAAACAGATAACTTTAAAAAAAAAAAAAAAAAAAAAAAAAAAAAAAAAGAAAAAAAAAAGAACTAAGAAACAGATAACTTTAAAAAAAAAAAAAAAAAAAAAAAAAAAAAACAAGGAATCACAACCTGGAAAATGTACTGATGCTAACTATAAAATTTTGGGGAGATGTTTAGAGAAGAAGTAATGGTTTAATTAACCAAATTATAGTATTTAAAGAGTTGTTTAGGGTTTTTTTTTTCAAACTAGTGATAAGAAAATTTCCCCATATGATGGAAGTGAAGGCTTGTTGTCTTCCCTGCCCACCACTCCCCCACAGGGTTTCTCTATGTTACAGCATTTACTGTCCTGGAACTCACAGTGTAGCCCAGATTGACCTTAAACACCCAGAGATCCATCTGTCTCTGCCTCCCTGAGTTCTGGGATTAAAGGCGTGCACACACACACACACACACACACACACACACACACACACACACCATCCTCCGACTTGGTTGTCTCTTTATTATACAGTTTTTTGGTTTTATTTTGTTTTGTTGGTTTTTTGAGACAAGGTTTCTCTGTGTAACAGCCTTGGCTGTTCTGGAACTTACTCTGTAGACCAGGCTGGGCTCAAACTCAAACTCAAATTCAGAGATTCACCTGCCTCTGCCTCTGGAGTGCTGGGATTAAAGGCGTGTGTTACCACTGCCTGGCTTCATTATACAGTTTTAGCTTGGTAAAATTTTGTTTTTATTCTGTGTTTTTGGGTGCTAACATCATCTTTCAAATGAAACGTGTGTTGTGTGAGACTTTGTGAGGCAGCGTCTCAGATTCCAAGCTGGCTTTGTATTTTGAATCTTCTTGCCTCTACCTCCCAAGTGTGGGGATTACAGGAGTGTATTCCATGCCAGGCTTCAAACAACTTTATGCAAGTTGTTCTGGCTTCTGATTTTCTTCCAAAGGAAAAGGAGAGGAGAAAAGTAGGGGGAGAGAAAGAAGGAAAAAGAGGGGGAGGGAGAGGAATAAGGGGGGAGAGGAAAAAGGGGAGGAGAAGCAGGAAAAGGAGAGATGGGTAGAACGCCCCCACGAGGCAGTCTGGTGAGAGGTCCTTGGGTCCCTGGCAGAGGTTTAGCCCCAGATTGACTGAGGAAGTCTGGCCCCTTCCTTGTGTTTCCTACCATGTCCTCCCCACTATTGCCATTCAGTATGCAACCCCTAAAGGCCCCAAGCATTGAGTTTGCCCAGTCATAGATTGGAAACTCTAAAACTCTGAGTCAAAATAAGTATTTTCTCCTTAGACATTTGTCACCTCAGGTATTTAATATAGAAAATGGGAAGGGGAATCACACACAAAGCTTCTTGCTCTGAATTCTCAGGAAATGCCTCCTTGCAGAGACACCCATTCATGGCTCTGGTTTTCGTGGCTAGCTTGTGTGGAGGCAGGGGGTGGTGAGAATTATTTTGGCAGGCTGACTGTTCTCATTGAGACATAGCTTTTCCAGAACAAAGTATTTTCAGAACATTTACTGGCAGCAGGACATAGATGATATCACAGAAGTCATTCCGGCACTGCTGAGCTGTTTAATTCCCCGGTTAAATACCGTTCCTATGTCAACAGCTCTGAGTCAGAAGGCCAGAGCCACATCACAGCCACAGAGACTGCTGGCCACCCAGGATGCTGCTTCTTCCTGATATTCATTTCAAATACATTATTCTTTTACTTAATTCATCTGATTTATTGGGGATTTGACATTTTAATCACAACTGAAAATTTTCAATACATTTGAAATGATTGAGCCTGGTTTTCTTACTCCAACACCACGCAGACTCAAAGATGGAGAAGCACATGAGGTCACATTTGTATATTTGCTATATTGTTATTTTGAAAGGAATATGGGGGCTATAGAGATCAGTTAGGCACTTCCAGGGAACCCAAATTCAATTCTCAGCACTCACGTTGAGTAGCTCACAACAGCCTATAACCCTATAACTCCAACTCCAGGAGATCTGACACCCTTTTCTCACATGCATACACCCCCACATACACACACACACACACACACACACACACACACATTTAAGAAAAACAGTACCCACGGGCGTACCTGCAAGTCAATTTGACACAGACATTTTTCTCAATTAGGATTCCCTCTTCCAAGCTATGTCTAGGTTTGTATCAAGTTGACAAAAGCCACCAGCACAGCCGCTCACCTCTTCTGTGTATCTTCCCAGGGGAGATGATAAACATGTTCTTCTCAAAATCCTTCATGTGAATATGCTTTGACGGTTACCAAGATGGGTAAAGAGACCCTGATCATCATTTAAGCATAAGGAGGCCACAGCATGGTTTGGCTCATTCCTTTGCAGATGAGCCAGAGAAGAGTATGGAACATTTTTTTAGCCGGGCGATGGTGGCGCACGCCTTTAATCCCAGCACTCGGGAGGCAGAGGCAGGCGGATCTCTGTGAGTTCGAGACCAGCCTGGTCTACAGAGCTAGTGCCAGGACAGGCTCCAAAGCCACAGAGAAACCCTGTCTCAAAAAAAACAAAAAAAAAAAAATCTTGAAATTCTAGATACAGTTACTCACCTATAATTCCCAACACTCTGGAGGCTGAGGCTAGAGGATTGCTTCACATTTGAGGTCAGCTAGGTATTAGAGTTGGACCTGCAAAAGAAAATTAATTGCTGGTCCAATCAGATGGCTCAGTGGATGGGGAGTGTGACACCAGGCCTGGCTTTGATCCTGGGACACACATACTGAAGGAGAAAGTGGACTTGTCCACGTTGTCCTGTGGCCTTTAAATACGCGCTGTGGTGTGTGTGTACACAATGCAAACATCAATAAAACATAAAAAAAATAAAAACTTTAAAAATATATAATGTAATAGTCTAATATGTACGTGTGTTGGGTTTTTGTTTGTTTTTGTCAACTTTATGCAAGTGAAAGCATCAGGTAAAGGGGAATGTCAACTGAGAAAATGCTTCCATCAGATTGGCCTATCGGCAAGCCTGTGAGTAATGATTGACGTAGGAGGGCTAGACCACTGTTGCAGTACTATTCCTGGGCAGACGCTCCTGGAGTACATAAGGAAGTGGTTTAAGTAAGCAAGAAAGAGCCAGCCAGTAAATAGTATTCCTCCACGGTCTCTACTCCAGTTCCCGCCTCCAGGCTTCTTTCTTCAAAAAAAAAAAAGATTTTATTTATTTATTTATTATGTATATAGTGTTCTGTCTGCATGTGTGCCTGCAGGCCAGGAGAGAGCGCCAGATCTCATTAGAGATGGTTCTGAGCCACCATGCGGTTGCTGGGAATTGAACTCAGGACCCTTCTAAGGCCAGTCAGTGCTTTAACTGCTGAGCCATCATTCCAGTGCCACCTCCAGGTTTCTGACTGAGTTCTTGATTTACCTTTATGATGGACTACAAGTGTAAGCCGAAACAAACCCTTGTCTCCTCCAGTTGCCTTTGGTCATGGCGTTTTCCTGCAGTCAGAATGTAGCCTAAGACATAAATTGGTACCAGAGAGTGGACCATTGCTGTGAAAGACCTGACCATGTTGTTAAGCGAGGATTGTGAAGGGTTTTGGAACTGGGGCTGAGAAGTTGTTGAGTGTCCCGAGCTGTTATAGGAACTCTGACAACAATGTCGAGGGCAGTGTAGACAATGTACGCCTGGTTTCTGAAGTTTCAGAGTCCCTTAAAGATGCCACCGTTTGTGTGATAGTTTCAGTCAAGAATCTAGTGCCAGTCGACTTGGGTTGAAGTATCAACAATGATTTCCTAGAGACCAACATCACAGAAGTAAAACCTTGACTTTGCTGGAACAGTCAATGATGGTTTCCTGGGGCTAAAAAAATCAGTTGTGATTAAGGGACAAGCATCTCTGAGAGATGCTTCTGGGAAGCATTTCCTCAGGGTCAGTCCACAGAGCTGTGGTCCAGAGGTAGCCAAGGATGCGTCTGACACTCCTAGCAGCTGCACTTGGTTATCTATCAGGGTATTGGCTTAGAAGGCATGAAGGGGTCATGGAGAGCAGCTGAGAGTTGTCATCACGTGGCTGAGGTGGTGAAAGGGAGGCGTCTCTCGGCTCAGGGCTCCCAAGGCCAAGTTCTCAGCACTGTGGAGATTTATTTGACCCAGAGGAACAGAGGGCAGGGAATAAGAAACAAAGACAAGAGAGAGAATGAGGGGGGAGGGGAAGGGAACAAGGCAGAGGGGAAAGGAGGGTTTGTCCCAGAGGAACAAAGGACTGCCTCTGGGCTCCTCTAGAGAGGAGACACATGTGGTCTATAGGAAAATGGCAGTTTATAAACGTAAACTCATCCAATGTTAGGATGAGTGTTTAATTTTAATTGGGCATGTTAATTGGGTGAGCCAAAGGAGGCTTTTGATTGCTGGACCTCAGTACTTAGATAGGACCTTGGTATGCAGGCTCCAGAGGAGACCGTGGTGGCTAACTCTAGAAGGCAGAGAGAAAGGAAAAAAGCAAGACCCGCCAGAGCTACATGCTCAAGTGGGCCTGTGTCCCTTCAGGCAAGATCCCTGAAACCTGGGCCAGGAAATCATTGGTCCAGATGCGGCATATGGACAGCCCGTCATATTTAAAGTATCAGGACTGTAAAATGCTCACCAAGGACAGCACCAGCTGTGAAGTGCGGCTGACCTGAGCTTATTAGATAAGCCATTGATGCTGCAGATGGCAGAGCTGGACAAACGGAGCTACGCAGGATCTTTGGAGCCCGTAGGATGGACAGTAGGATCCAGATGTCAAGCACTGAATTTTTTAACACTATTGAATTTTTGCTTTGATTTTGTGAATGTGCCTGGCTTCCTGACTCTTAAAGAAAATATGTATCATATTTTTTATTTGGGAGTAGCCCACAGATGAGATACTTTCGGTTTTTAAGAATCTAGTATAAACAGAAGAAACATTGCCAACCCCCCTTTTTTTTTTTTTTGGTTTTTCGAGACATGGTTTCTCTGTGGCTTTGGAGCCTGTCCTGGAACTAGCTCTGTAGACCAGGCTGGTCTCGAACTCACAGAGATCCGCCTGCCTCTGCCTCCCGAGTGCTGGGATTAAAGGCGTGCGCCACCATCGCCCGGCCGCCAAACTCTTTTTATGAGGCTACAATTACCCTGATACCCAAACCACGTAAAGGCATTACTAAAAATGAGAATTATAGACCAATCTCACTCATGAACATTGATGCAAAAATATTAAAGAAAATACTGGCAAATCGAATCCAAGAATACATCAGAACCATCATTCACCATGATCAAGTTGGTTTCATCCCAGAGATGCAGGGATGGTTCAACATACGAAAATCTGTCAACGTAATCTACCAAATAAAAAAACTGAAAAATAAAAACCACATTATCATCTCATTAGATGCTTAAAAAGCTTTCAACAAAATACAACATCCCTTCATGATAAAGGTCTTGGAGAGAGCAGGGATACGAGGAACATACCTAAACATAATTAAGGCAACATACAGCAAGCCAACAGCTAAAATCAAACCAAATGGAGAGAAACTCCCAGCGATCCCACCAAAATCAGGAACAAGACAAGGTTGTCCACTCTCTCCATATCTACTCAATATAGTTCTTGAGGTCCTAGCTAGAGCAATAAGACAACAAAAGGAGATTGAGGGGATAAACATTGGAAAAGAAGAAGTCAAACTCTCACTATTTGCTGATTAAATGATAGTTTACATAAGTGACCCCAAAAAATTCTACCAAGGAACTTCTACAACTCATAAACACTTTCAGGCCTGGCGGTGGTGGCGCACGCCTTTAATCCCAGCACTCGGGAGGCAGAGGCAGGCGGATCTCTGGGGATCTCTGGGAGTTCGAAGCCAGCCTGGTCTACAAGAGCTAGTTCCAGGACAGGAACCAAAAGCTACGGAGAAACCCTGTCTCGAAAAATAAAATAAAAAAATAAAAATAAACCACTTTCAGTAATATAGAAGGATACAAGATTAGCTAAAAAAAAAAATCAGTAGCCCTCCAGCACACAGATAATAAATGGACCAAGAAAGAAATCAAAGAAACATCACCCTTCACAATAGCCACAAATAGCATAAAATATTTCGGAGTAACTCTAACAAAACAAGTGGAAGACTTGTATGACAAGAACTTTAAATCTTTGAAGAAAAAAATTGAAGAAGACACCAGAAAGTGGAAAGATCCTTCATGCTCTTAGGTAGGTAGAATTAACATAGTAAAAGTGTCAACCTTTTTAAAAATTATTTATTTATTATGTATAGAGTGTTTTATCTGCATTCTAGAATAAGGCACCAGATCTCATAGATGATTGTGAGTCGCCATATGGTTGCTGGGTATTGAACTCAGGAACTCTGGAAGGGCAGTCAGTGTTCTAAACCTCTGAGCCATTTCTCCAGCCCTGAAAATGGCAATCTTACCAAAAGCAATCTACATATTCAATACAATGCCCATCAAAATTCCAGTGAAATTCTTCACAGACCTCAAAAGAATGATACTCAACTTCATATGGAAAAACAAAATCCCAGGATAGCCAAAACAATCCTGTACAATAAAAGAACTTCTGGAGGCATCACAATCCCTGACTTTAAACTCTACTACAGAGCTACAGTACTGAAAACAGCCTGGTATTGGCATAAGAACAGACAGGAGGACCAATGGAACCGAAGAGAAGACCTGGGTATTAATCCACACACTTAAGAACACCTGATTTTTGACAAAGAAGCAAAAAATATCAAATGGAAAAAAGAAAGCATATTTAACAAATGGTGCTAGCGTAAATGGATATCAACATGCAGAAGAAGGAAAATAGACCCATACCTATCACCATGCACAAAACTCAAGTCCAAATGGATCAAAGACCTCAACATAAAGCCAACCTCACTGAACCTTATAGAAGAGAAAGTGGGAAGTACACTTGACCACATTGACACAGGCAATCACTTCCTAAATATAACCCCAGGCAGTACAGACACTGAGAGAAACAATTAATAAATGGGATCTCCTGAAACTGAAAAGCTTCTGTAAAGCAAAGAACATGGTCAAAAAGACAAAATGACAGCCTACAGAATGGGAAAAGATCCCCACCTGCTGACTGTCATACTAAATCTGCTTGTCTTTCTGCCATTTTATTCCTCTCTCTGCCCCTTCACCCCCAGAAATGGCCTTGGCTGTTTGCCCCAATAAGTTTTTTCCACCCACAGGGTTTGGTAGTTTGCTGCCTCACTGCTCATAAGTGAGGAGAGCACGAAGTTCAGGGGCTGCAGGCTCTTTCTTGTGTGAGATCAACTAAAACCATACCGAATGGAGCTTTTCAGAGGCAGCAGGCACCAGGGACACAGTATATGGAACATACTGGAACTACTGGCCAGAAAGTGACTGTCCACCAGTCCAATTTGTTTCTGGTCATCTAGATCTGGAATTGGTTCCAGGTTTTCTACCAAGTCTGGGTAATCAATGAATCTGCAAGGCTAGAGGAGATAATAGTTAAATTAAATCACAGACGGTAAATAGTCTATGATCTACTAATCTCATTCAGTTATGAGAATTTCCAAAATATTTTTGATATAGGACTTTCTAAAAACTTACATTTCTTTCTTTGTTTAAACCTTTAATTTTATTTTATGTAGACATTTGTTTTGCCTGCATGTATGTTGGGGCACCATGGCATGCAGTACCCTTGGAGGACAGAAGAGGGCATAACATCACTTGGGACTAGAGTTGCACACAGTTGTGAACCAGTTCTCAAGGCCCTGTTTCTGTTGTAGAGGAAGAAGCTTTATGAATTGTTTACATAGGTGGGTACAATTTAGGAGTGTTAAGAGAAAGCTAGGCAAGATGGTGTATGCCTGTAATTCTAGCACCCTGTAAGTTTGAAAACTCCAAGTTCCAGCGTGGATAGAATAAAAAGGTGAGCCAGGTGGCGGCGGCACTGGGCTTTAATTTCAGCACTAGGGAGGTAGAGTCAGGTGGACCATCTACAAAGTGAGTTCCAGGACAGCAAGAGCTTTAACAGAGAAACCCAGTCTCGAAATCCCCTCATTCCTTCTCTGAACTGCTCCCCCAAAACAACAAAAAAAAGATAGCTTTCATTTATTTATTTTGAATAAATATAATTACATTTGCCAAAATGAATGAGTTGTGCATTCTACCCAGAGAAATATACGATCCAGGTACAGTGAACATCCTAGGGACAAACAGTGTTCGTATTGCCCAGTGTAGGTTCTACAACTTCTGGGGAAAGATGAAACATTGTCTGTTCCCCCCAGAGAGCATAGTGATCACAGACCAAACAGTGAATTCTACACAAACCTACTGTAGTGAACCAGTGACATTACTGGGGTCATTTACAGGAAGAAGTGTGGGTAAGAAATTACAGTAGCGCGAATGACTAAAGGCAGCTGTATCCCCCAAAAGTTCACCCCAGCATGAATGAAAGAGGACTCACAGAAGCTACATCCCTGGAACTCCCTACAGAGCTTACAGGCTGTGTAGTTAGTTGGAGTCCACTCTCCTAATTGTTACTCTTGTAGAAGCTTGGGAAGGAGTCTTATTATCTTGTAAGCTTCAGGAGCTTCCTGAGATTCGTGTGTTTTGATTATTTTCTGAACCTTAAGAGACGGGGCTGCAGGAGTGGATGTTTCAATTCAGAAATGAGAAGAACACAGCAGGCAGAGATGGAATGTTACGTTGGGGGCAGGAGGAAGTTTTTACTCTGAATCTCTTATCTGAGATAAACTTCAGTGGATGACAAAATGCCCCTTTTCACTTAATATTTCACCCACAGTATAAATAGGCCTTCCACATTAAAAACACACACACACACACACACACACACCCATAATTCAACGTGAGAAATGGAATAGGATAATGGATGAATCACACAAATACATGTAGGTTTACTTTTGGATCTAATTTCATTATTGCTACAGGATACTCAATGGATATATTGAGTTATTATTAGTAAGTTCTGTGAGTTGCCTGGAAATCATCCCTCATAGCTAGGGTGCAACTCTAATGGGCAGGGATCAGTGCTGCACGGAAGACTCCATTACGTCATCTTTCTGCGTCACTAGAGAAAAATGACTTCATGATAATTCACTGGGAAGTTCTGGACCCTGGAAAGACTTTCTAAATAACAATGCCAGCATGTCCATTCATCACAGATTGTGGCTAATAAGTATTTTTCATGTTATTTTAAAATAATTGAAATATACTCAGATAGACAAATATCTGTCATTTATCCTCGTTGGAGTTGTGTTTTATAATCATGGAAGTCAATAATCTAATTTGAATTTACTTGCTTTTCTTGCCATCATCTAAATCATTATTAAATCAAACCAAGTGATGTGCGTCTCCTCATCTCCAGATGGAAAAGTACATTCAATTTATTTGAAAACCCTTCGCACAGCAGCATCACTTTCGGAAAATACTCAATAATTGCCTGATAGATAGTCCTCTTGCAGCCCAGTGGTATTCTGGTTCTATTCCGGAGCGTCTTAATGCAGGAAAAACCTCTGGGGATTGAATAAGCAACATCTTCCTCCGAGCTGCCAAGCCGGAGAGAAGTCCAGATCCTCTTCTTTCCCCACACACCTGCCCTTAAATTAGCTACGTTTCACACCCTGACCCTCAGCCTGCAAGTGTCTTGTCTTATCCCCAACTCTGCTGCCCTCATCACAGGCATTCCACATCTGGAGCAAAGACAGACACGGAGAAGTGTTGGGGGACAGGACATCCGGCTATGGGGAGACACAGGGTTTCGGTTCTGTCTGCCTGACGCTACTGTGCCGACCTGTGCTCAGCACTGTCCTGCTTTCCCTGTGTCCGACCCAAGGGGAGAGATTCAGTATGCAGAGGCTGGGCTGTCTTTCAGGCTAATAGGATTTTGAGGTGCAAGGTCAGCCACGCTCACACTCCAAACCTGCCTCCTCAGCTCTCCATTGGATACCTGTTAAGTGAGGTGCTCACTTTTAGGGTCAGCATGTTACGTCTGTCTTCAGTGTGCTCTTTTGATTAGGTTGATTTTTTTTTTTTTTTTTTTTTTTTTTTTTTTTNAGAAAAAAACTGCAGGCTCAAGGTGTTCCTGCCATTCTAAACTTTCCTCTTTGTTCTGAGCAGGACCAAAAACTGTGTCCAACATTTTTCCTTTTTTTTTTTTTTAAATCTTCTTGAGACAAAGTCTCACTATATCCAGGATTTGGCGATGTAGGCCAGGCTCTCAAGATCTAGGATTGTTACCAGATTTATCTGTCACAGCCTGTACCCCCACAAGCCAGTTTAAAAGACCCACATTAAAAGCAGAAAATGGTTTATTCAGCATGGCCACATGGGAAGAGGGATGTGTGTGTGCGTGTGTGTGTAAGCGTGTGAAAGAGAAAGAGCAATTAAACCACTCTTCCAGTTCTGCACTTGAGGCTCTTAACATGGATGGACAGATGGACAGACAGAGGGGCAACAGCAAGTATCAGGTTCCAAGGAGAAGTCAGACCCTAGCACCAGAGACAGACAACGGCATGACATAGTCTCTGAAGAGACTCAAAGCACACAGGGAAGCTCTTCTTATTCCTGTTCAGGATGGGGAGTTTCACAGCAAGAGCCTACAGCTAGTTAGGCTCTCTACTTCCCAGACAGCAAGCTGGGAGTGGGTGGGAATCTAATCTGTGCACAATGCAACAATACCTTACTATCAATACCTTACTATCAATACCATTTCTTTCAGGTGGTGGTGTAGATCTTTTTCGGTTTTGGTTTTGTTTTGAGACAAGGTTTCTTTGGGTGTAGCCCTGGTTGTCCTGGAACTCCCTCTGTAGACCAGACTGGCCTTAAATTCACAAAGATTCACCTGCCTCTGCCTCCCAAGTGTGTGGCGGGGTGGGGGCTAAATGTGCCACCCTCCCACCCTCTCTCCCTCCCACCTTAACACCCCCCAAAGGTGGTGCGCATCTTTAATTGCATCGCTCAGGAAAACAGCTGGATTGAAGCATGATTAATAAAAACTCAGGGTCATAAATTGGGGTTCAACCTGAAGATCCACTGGCTCTTACGTTGACCTCAGTCTGAAAAGGCAATCCTGCCTCAGGAATTTCAGAATGAGACAGTGTCTGAGAAGTCGTCCCCCCCCCCTCCCGCTTTTATTCTTCTCTGGCATACACAGCGTGTATGCTGGTGTCTGTAAAGCCACAGGCAAAGGACTTATTCGTGAATTTGTGCCCCAAACGTTGGTCACCAGATGTAGCATGAATAATAAAAGCCGAGAGACAGATATTGGGATTCAAGCTGGAAATCAGAAAAGCAAAGCGCTGGGTGGTGGTGGCGTGTGCCTTTAATCCCAGCACTCGGGAGGCAGGATCTCTGAGTTCAAGGCCAGCCTGGTCTACAAGAGCTAGTTCCAGTACAGGCTCCAAAAGCTACAGGGAGACCTGTCTCAACACCCCCCCCCCCCAAAAAAAAAGGAAAAGAAAAGCAGTCAACCTCTAGAGAGACCTTTTCCCTCTACTGGCTACCTCTCTTCATCAGAAAGTTCCGTAAGTAGCAAGGTAAACAGTTCAAAATAACTTTGGGAAGTCCCTGAAACTGACCAGATTTTGCTAGGCCTCTCCCTGCCAGTATAAGCAATAAAAGTTGAGAGTCCCTGTCAGCTGAGCTGCACAAAAGACTGAGAACAGAACAACTGCCTGGAAAAAGCAGAAACCGGCTGGGCTGCCTGGAAGAGGTTTAGACCAGCTGAGGCACCTGGAAAGGTCACTTTCCAGTCTGCAGAGCTGCCTGCACTCCAGGCAATGTACTCCTCGTTCTTAGCTTAGTGAGCTGCCTTTTATGCTGAGTGGGCCTTAGCGATAACTTTTATTCCAATGTCTTTCCATGGCCAAGTGACCCTCACAATCCGCAGTTAAAAAATTTAGAATAAACAAAACAGAAGCCAACTGTGTATTCGGAGAGAGAATATACTCCCCCTATTTATTTTTGTGAAATACTGTTTTATTACCATATGCATTCTTTCTACCATAGCTTGCCCAGTAGGGTTATATGGAATACCTGTAATATGTTTAATATCATTATTTACACAAAATGTTGGAAATTTTCCACTAGTATATGCAGGACTATTATTTGTTTTAATAACATTAGGTAAGCCCATATAAGCAAAAGCCAGCAGGCAATGAGCTATCACATCCTTAATTTTCCCTCCACTATGCAGCGAAGCAAAAACTATGTTAGAACAAGTATCTACTGAGACATGCATATATTTAAGCTTTCCAGCTGAGGGTAGGCAGGACACATCCATCTGCCAAATGTCATTCGGTGTAAGACCTCGAGGATTAACTCCAGCCATGGGTGTGTTATGAAAAGGAGCACAGGCGGAACATTGGGTGGTCACTTGTAAGACAGTGGCTCTGGAGCGACCAGAATGGTGCTGCAAAGAACGAGCATTTAAGTGATTTTTTGAAAATAGAGTTTAGAAGCCTTTTCTTCGGGGCTGGAAATAATATCGGGTATATGCATCTGCGAGTTGATTACCCTTGGCCAGGGGTCCAGGTAATTGAGTATGACCTCTGATATGACTCACAAAAATAGGATCCCGCCTGGGCCATAATAAATATTGTAGACAGTATAATTGTTGTTGTATACGGGACACAGGAGAAATATAAGGAGCAGTTTCTAAAGGAGCAATAATTTGAGACCAGTAAATACTATCAGTATATAAATTAATTGACTCATCAGGAAACATTTGTAATGCTAGAATACAGGCTGTTATTTCAGCTGCTTGAGCAGAGACATTGCCAACAGGAGTTTGGGATACTAGACCTTGAGAAACTACCACAGCATTTCCTTTCGGAGAACCGTCTGTAAAAACCAAAGGCCTAGGTTTTACTATTTGCGGAAAGTACTATTTGTGGTTAAACGGTCAGATACCACAGCCAATGAGAAAGCTAAAGCCTGTGAACTACGTCAGTAAGCCAGCCCAGGAAGTGACGTCAAGAGAACTGCGGGCGCTTGTCCGAATAAATTCCGTGGAGACCGAAGACAACTGCTCCTTCGCTTGCTCGACGAACAGGAAGCGAACATGTCGGAACGGAAAGTTTTAAACAAATACTACCCACCTGATTTCGACCCGTCAAAGATCCCGAAACTCAAGCTACCCAAGGACCGGCAGTACGTGGTTCGATTGATGGCCCCCTTCAACATGAGGTGTAAGACATGTGGAGAATACATCTACAAGGGGAAGAAGTTCAATGCTCGCAAGGAAACAGTCCAGAACGAGGCCTACCTGGGCCTGCCTATCTTCCGCTTCTATATTAAGTGCACGCGCTGCTTGGCCGAGATTACCTTCAAGACAGACCCTGAGAACACGGACTACGCCATGGAGCATGGAGCCACACGCAACTTCCAGGCCGAGAAGCTCCTGGAGGAGGAGGAAAAGCGTGTGCAGAAGGAGCGCGAGGATGAGGAGCTCAACAACCCCATGAAGGTCCTAGAGAACCGCACCAAAGACTCGAAGCTGGAGATGGAGGTGCTGGAAAACCTGCAGGAGCTGAAGGACCTGAACCAGCGGCAGGCACGCGTGGACTTTGAGGCCATGCTGCTGCAGCACCGCCTGTCGCAGGAACAGCAGCGACGGCAGGAGGAGGAGGAAGATGAGCGTGAGACTGCAGCCTTGCTGGAGGAGGCTCGCCACCGCAGGCTTCCGGAGGATTCCGACTCTGAAGATGAAGCTCCGCCTTCCCGACCACGCTCAGCAGCAAAACCCAACCCCATAGCCATCCTGGACAAGGCACTGAAGGCCAAGAGGAAGGCAGAGGCAGTGCGCAGCAGGGCACAGCTGGCCAGATTGGTGGTCCCAAAGAAGGTGAAGGTGGAAGCCAAGGAGGGCTCAGAGCAGCTCCAGATGCCTGCTGTGAGTGCCCCCGAGAGCAGGAAGACAGTCAACCTTGCACCCCAGACACCTGGGGCCTCCTCCCTGAGCCAGCTGGGTGCATATGGGGACAGCGAGGACAGTGACAGCTGAGCACCTACAGCGACATCACAGACCCAAGAAACCAGAGGAGGAGATGGGATCAAGGAAGGCACCCTCAGCAAGTTCCTCTTGACCGTGTCTGCCGCAATTTGTCCTCTCTTCTTTACACACACACTCTGAGAAACATGCATGGGAACATAAATAAATAAATGTATTGTCTTTAACTATCAAAAAGTTATGGGTAAAATACAGTATGACAACCCTAAGGGAAAAAGTTGGTATTTACATGGTTGCAGGAGTCAGTTCTCTCCTGCTATGTACCGTGTGGGTCTCCAGGTATTGAATTTAGGTCATCTTGGAGGCAATTGCCTTTACCCACTGAACCATCTTGCTGGCCCTTTACTTTTAATCTTCCCTTGTTCTTATTTTGGATGCTTCTCATTGAAGAATATAGAAAAAGATTTTTAAAAAAATCAATTTTGTAAGCCTTCCTTCCCTTTCTTTCTTTCCTTCCTTCCTTCCTTCCTTCCTTTCTTTCTTTCTTTCTTTCTTTCTTTCTTTTTGTATTTCGAGACAGGGGGTTTCTCTGTAGCTTTTGGAGCCTGTCCTGGAACTAGCTCTTGTAGACCAGGCTGGCCTCGAGCTCAAAGAGATGATCCTCCTGCCTCTGCCTCCCCAGTGCTGGGATTAAAGGCGTGCGCCCACTACTGCCCGACCTTTGTACATTTCTTCAGTGCAATTACTAGTCCATGACCATTTGAATCTTTTCACTTTCTTTGTTACTTGTTTCCTCTGATCTTTATTCTTTTTCTTTAGGTATTCCTTTGGATTCTATGTGACTGTGTTTTTTTTTCTATTAATTTCCTACACGTTTTTCTATATTGGATGAAATCTACAGGGCTCTTTTCTTCAGTTCATGATGAGTGTTGAAAGAGGAAGCTTCTGTGTGTCAGCCACAGACAGAGCAAGTCATTTCTTGAGAGCTGAAACCATTTCTCAGAAAACCATGAGGGTAGGAGACAGAAAGGCTTCATCAGAAGTGGGTGGGCTTACTTTTTATCCAATTTTTAAGTTACAGTCCTGTTAGATACTGCATTTCTTCATTCAGTTGGTGGCAAGAATAAGAAGAGGTAACACCCTACAGAATAATAAATATGTTCCTTCCTGTGCTGCTGCTGGTGCTTTGAGGGATGGATAGGTAAGATTGCCCCCGGAAGTGTGATTCCTTTGTTTCCCTCCTTTATGCATCTTTTGAAAGATACAGAGAGAGAGAGAGAGAGAGAGAAGAGAAGAGAAGAGAAGAGAAGAGAAGAGAAGAGAAGAGAAGAGAAGAGAAGAGAAGAGGAGAGAAGAGAGAGAACCAACCATTGCCATAGAATGCTGATCAAGAAAGTACTGTGGACTTTGGGATTCAAGTTGTAGAGCCCTTCCCATTTTGATGATCTCATTTCAGAGAATCCTGGGCAAAAATAAAAACTATGACATTTTTTTTTCTAATTCGGAAGTCAAAAGTTTCCTTTGTTGGAAACAAACAATTCAGGGGTTCCAAAGAGGTGATTCAGCAATTAAGGGCTCATGTGTCCTTGTCCTTTTAAAGGACTCAAGTTAAGTTCCCAGCATCTATATCTGGCAGCTTAGAGCTGCCTATTATTACTCTGTCCAGTTCCAGGGGATCTGAAGCCCTCTTTTGGCCTTTAAGAGCATCCACATACACAGGGCGCACCCCTCCCACACATGTATATGTAAATAAAAATAAAACATTTTTAAAAATTTAAAATGAACAGTTCACAGATTTGGGAGTGACTAAGACTAGTGGATCATGGAAAGGAAACAGTTAACTCCCAGGTTGTCAAGGGACCTCTCTGATGATGCAAACTGAGTACCTGCTAAGTAATCCCTAGTAAGTGAATGACAGGGTTCTTTGCCTTTGTTAGGCATTGGAATTGTGAAGTCACAGGTTTTCAAGGTTTTGATGAGGATTTTTCTTCCAAAATAAATATATATCCAGTCTTTTTTTGATATTTCAAGGTGATATATTTCCGTTAACACATATTTAAAAAAAAGTGTTTGCTTTTTTTTTTATAATTTCTTTTGAATCAAAAGTGTGTATTTCTTTTTACTTTTTGTTACGAGGTCTTATGTAGTCCCGGTGGCCTAGAATTCACTGTATAGACCATGCTAGACTCAAACTGAAAGAGACCGTCTCTCTTTGTCTCTGGAGTGCTGGCATTGAAGGTGTGGCCACTGTGCTCTGCTCACCATTTCCTTTTGAACCTAAATAATGAGACAGCTGTGCCCTTGACAGTTTGTTTTCCCTAGAAGAAAATACAGATTTAGTCACCAGCTGTGCTTACTTGTAAAGTGCTGTCCTGATTTCCTAAGGATTACTATTTTCTCTAGTCATCTCTAACAAAACTTAAAAATTGTCATTGAACCCTGAGAGAATGCACAGCGTCCCTTTGCTTTTGTTGATTGGATCAATCATTGTTAGACAATGAAGCAGAGCCCTGTGATGGCACTGGGCCTTGGGTGGCTTTCAGATAGTGTCCAGAGTCCTCTGTGCTGTTAGTCTCTGGGTGTGAATACTGTCTTTATCGTTTTGGGTTAAAGACTGAAGGAAAATAGCTGAATGGGGTTGAGCTTTTCTTCTAGTCTTGGCTTCTAAGCTCTACCTTGGTCTGGGAAAGTGTTCTGCAGATGCACTGGCTTCCTAGCACCCTGTGTGTGGGCCTGACCTTCTGAATTGCTTGTTGGCCAAAATAGTATGAGTGCGTGTGTGTGTTTGTGTTTGGTTTGTAATCTTATTGTGATTAGAACATGAGGAAATGTATTCCTTTGGGCGATACTGTACTGGAGTCTAGATTTTGGTGGTTGTTTTGCTTTCTCTAAAAATTTGCATTCTTCCATGGGGGTGTGCTATCCATGAAACATATGGTCTTAATTTTGTTGAGTAGGAAGCTGTCCTTGTCTTGTACAGTGTGACAATTAAAGGATGATTGAGCTGTTAACAAAATAAAAACTTTTTCAGAAGTGCTTGCTGACATCATCTTTCCCAGAAAACTAGTACACGTGATTTACTATAGCCCGATTGTAGTTTTCTTTTGCGGATGACGTGTAATATTAAAGAGGTCTTGTGGCCGGGTGGTGGTGGCTCACGCCTTTAATCCCAGCACTCGGGAGGCAGAGGCAGGCGGATCTCTGTGAGTTCAAGACCAGCCTGCTCTACAGAGCTAGTTCCAGGACAGGCTCCAAAGCCACAGAGAAACCCTGTCTCGAAAAAACAAAAACAACAACAACAACAAAAAATTAAAGTTAAAAAAAAAAGAATATATTCTCTGAAGTTAAACATCATACATTCAATTTGTAACTTAGTTTTATGTGTGTGGCTTTTTTATGTTTAGGATTCTGAAGTAAAGTTAATCTTGGGGATAAATTCTCATTGTTTCCTTTCTGCCGGGCGGTGGTGGCGTGTGATACAAGGTCAAGTGTTGCATTTTAGATAATAAAATGAGTATGAATTCTAATCTTCAGTTTTTATTTTTAAAATGTAGAAGTGGGCCTAACCTGTTAACATAGTCTTCAGTATTGAAGTTTCCAGTACTCTTGTAAAGGATACAGATGGATAATCCAATTATTTTAGCTTCTCGGTGTTAAGCATTATTTAAATATAGTTGTATGCATGCTACCAAGAAGTGAAGAGTCTGTTCTCATCAGTTTGAGCCCAGTTATGTTTTTGCACATAGATACTCAGTTCCTAGGCACTGAGACTTGAGCTGACTTTTCACTTCCAGTAAGGTAAGTGCCCTATTCATTTTGCTGCACATGCTGGCCCGTTTTTCACGTTACTGTAGATGATAGACTACAAATAGAAGCACTTCCAATACCCAGCAATAAGATTGTTTTAACTTCGTCATTTAAAAAAAATAGGCAGGGCTGGTGCGATGGCTCAGAAGGTAAGAGCACTGGCTGCTCTTTCAGAGGTCCTGAGTTCAATTCCCAGCAACCACATGGTGGCTCACAACCATCTGTAATGTAATGAGACCTGGTGCCTTCCTTGCCAGCAGTACATTGTATGCTTAATAAATAAATAAATCTTAAAAATAAAAATAAAAAAATAGGCAATTTAGGGTTTGTCTCAACTCTCCTTTTTTGTTAGTTTATATTTTCTTTATTTCTCTTATCATCTATAACTGCCTTAGAATATTACCATCAAATAAAAAGGAATGGAAAAGTTGAAATGACAGTTATGATTTATCGTTCTCTGCTTTCAGATGATCACAGTCGTGTTAAACTGCAGAGTACTGAAAATGATTATATTAACGCCAGCTTAGTTGACATGGAAGAGACACAAAGAAGTTACATCCTAACACAGGCAAGTAGTGCAGTGTTGGGCAGAAGCCTCAGAGTAGAGCTTGGCTGCCGGGCTCTATACAAAGCTGAACGTGTGATGACATTTGCAAATGACATGATCTTCAGCTTGAACTCAAACATCTGCCTCTGGGTTTTTATTACTAGTGCTACAGTTTCCCCCTTTACCTACCAACCTTCCTTTGACTATGTGCGATATCTGTCTCCCCTCTGTCTAGAGGCAGTCCTTTGTCCCTTCTTCCTTTCCCTTGTCCCCCATCTACTTTTTATCACCACACCCTAGCCTATTCGAGCACAGACCTTTCTTTTTTTCCTCCTCTTAAAATTATACCTGCAAAGTCATTTGATTGATGCTGGTTTTCTGCCTGAGTCAGCAGCCACTTTGACTTTTCTTCCTCACTTAATAAAGCATCTCTCTGTGGAAACAGGTATTTAGGTCTAGTTTGTGCCTAATCTGGGGTTTGGGAGGAAACCCCCACTGTTTGGGCATCTCCTTAGGTCCCATCTTTGCAGCCTCAACTTTTCCTCAAGCACCTCATCTGACGCTCCACCCTCCTTCACTCCCCCATTGGGCTGTTAATATCCATCCCGCACAAATAAACCAGGCTCTCCATCTCAAGATCTTCCTTATTTCATTATTTCTTCAAAGCCCATTTTTTTTATGTAAGGTCACCTATTTGTGGCTTCTGGAGGTTCAGATGTAGTCATATTTGGGGAGTCTTATTCAGCCTGCCACACTGTGTTGTTGCAAATGTTCTTTTCCAATTGTCTGAGAACATTGGAACTCAAAGGGCTGAGAAAGTGTTCTCTTTTCTCTCATTCCAATTCTTAGAAGTGACCTACAAAAAAAGAATTGTCTCCCTAGACTCTGACACTGCACATCAGCTGTCCCAAATAGCCAGGCCCTGAGGTAGTGATTGCATTATCTGAGAACTCAATTTCCTTTTTCAGGTCCCAGGATGACTAGCCCCATTACAGGAGCAGAACTGGAGAACAGTAATTGCCCTGTTATCAAGGGGAGAGGAGGTGGGTATGTTGACGACAGTGAGCACTGTCTGTAGAGGCCTATATTGTCTTTGCTTACATAGAACAGAAATTGAACAGAAGGTGGTCCTTAAAACAACCACGCGGTG